TTTTGTATCTGCCTAATTCAATCTGTAAACGGTGGGCACTTATTCTAAATTTGGTCATTTCAGCACGATATAGTGGATTTTTAATTATTTGGAGGTATTTCTCAAAAGAAAAATCAGTTTTTATTTCTCTGTATGTTCTCAATTTGTTTTTGTGATGCATGCCCTTATCATCATCAAACATGCATTCTTTACTTTTTTTCTGGAATTGCATTTTAAGTTTTTCTGTAATGTCTTCAATAGTAGCATTGCTGTATTTAATTTGCCCATCTTTCCAGATATTACTTAAATTTAGGTATATAACTGGATTGAGGGAGGACTGGAGAGCTAGGGCTAGGGGTACATTGGAAAGTATTTCCGGGTTACATATTTCGGCCGGATACGTCACGTGGTTTGTTTCCTGATTGAGTTTTCTTTTAAATCTATAAACGTCATTTAGGGGGTAGCCGGGTTACCGTAAAACAAACAAGATTCGCGGTAACCCAGCTTTCGACATGATTTATACCAATATTTTATATTGAAAAAACACCAACAAACAAGAGACTATACGCAAGTCTAATTATATGGCTATTTTTGCATTTCTGTCGCATTAAATACTACATGTATTTATTTCCACGAGAAACAATGCCACGTAGACAGAAATGGATCTCTTCCACTGGCAGATTTGTTAAATGGATTGGAGTGTCATAGAGTACGTAAATGTTACCGCATGCTGGCGCACGATAACATTTAGTTATCCATTCGACATTCGTTTTCGTCAGCATTTCCACCGGAGATCGGATCAGTGGCGAATCCAGGGGGGCATCCCCCTCAAACGGTCATTCATATCATCTGGATTACGCATAGCTTCTCTGTGATTTACGCTCAGTACATTTTAAGCGAAGCTTGCCCCCCCCCCCAATACATTTTGCTGGATCCGCCACTGGATCGGATCCACATATACGACAAAGGCACCGTCTAGTGAAATATTGGTTCGTCGGATTTCCACGAAAGAAAACTCAAGAAAGTCAGTAGAAATGTGACGCAAATTTGATAAGTCGGAACTCGTAGCTTCAATGACGAACGACAACATGCGACGGTGTTCGAGTGCACGCCCATCGTTCATTTTCTTCGATAATAATTATATGGAATCGAAGATAATAAAGGTGAGAATGATTTCAGGTGATCTGTCCGTCGTCTGAAATTTAAGAAAATACACATTGGAGTCTAAATTATTGTTAGTACTCAAGTTTATAGTAATAATCTCGATGTACCAACGACTGGACCAGAAGGCACATCACAAATATTCAATCGTAGATGCTCTCAGCTTGAAAGCTTTATACACAAACTGACATAGGTTCAACAACAATACTGTGTTTTGTCGTAAGTTTTTAAAAGGCGTACACAGTTTTGAAGTGTTTGGGTGAAAAATATATTTAAAAAAAGTAGGTCAGACCATGGAAGGTACATGGTCAGACTAACAAAATCGTGGTATTCGTCTTCTACGTTTCTATTTTGATACATCTGCAGTACTTATATTGCTAAAAAAAATCAAGTTGGCAGTTGATTGCTTGCCCAAGATACGCGCAAAGTTACGTTTATACATTTTACAGAATTACTGGTAACTTAAATCAAATTTGAATGCAGGTGATATTACGAATACGGGTGACATCTGCATAATGGTTGACTTGACAGGTATTGCGTTGGGATGAACGTCTCAGCCACGCTCTCGCCCCTGCTCCTTTGGTGGTGGTGTCATGAATTTGTTTTTGCGTATCTGTTAACCGACTTAATTAGTTGATTATTAGCTGAATTGCTGTGTTATGTCTGTTATCGTTTAGGTCTATTTGAAGTTTTGGACGGAACTTGGCTCAGTGATTTGGAACTAATTACGAGATAACCGTCGCGATTCTGACAGTTTATATCCATAGTTATTAATGTAGTGAACGATTAATCAAAAGATATGACGTATTCAGTACTTAGTGTGATTGGCTTTATGATTGAAGGTTACGCCCTAGAGTCTTTTACTGTTTTGTAATTGGTTAGAGTTTTGAAAATGAATAAAGAGAGTTTGAGTTGGTCTTGGCGAATACTCCACGACAGACGCAGTCCGAGAGAGTCCAGGGGCGAGCCTTGAGGCAGTCCAGTCTTGGGCGAGTCTTGGTTCAACCTTGTGAGAGTCTTGGGGACTTTTCCCCAGGGCGCTGTGTCTTATAGAGTGCTCCAAAAGATCGACTAAGACGAGAGTTGAAACGTATTTCGTTGTGTGTGCCTTATTTGACTGTAAAGCTTAAGTGACTTTCCCGATCCCGTACCTCAAGGGGACGAGATATAGAGACGAGACGAGATTTCCCCCTGACAAGTGTGGAGAACTCGAGAGTAAGAGATTTACCCCCTGATAGTGGTCTGGAGCAAACAATGGTAAACACAGCGACCAGAATGTAAAGTAAAGTACGAGCGGGCACTATATTCATGTAGTGTACTCGACGATATGGGCGTGTCTGATGAATACTGTACGATGCGCCGGCGATATTCGCACATAGCTTTTATAGTTTATCTCCATTCAATACGATACACACTTATCATACCACGATAAAAGCTGACACGAATTTGTTTTTAGATCAGACCATATTTGGTGTGTAATGGCAGTTTAGTGTTCTGTTCGAACAAGACAAATCCAGTGAACACAGTGTTTATTATTGAGTGTCTCACTCTGTAAAGCTGCCACTCTTTTCCCCAGAGAGAGATAAATTAGACTACTTTATGGTTTGGTAAATCACTGTCATATCATGACGCAGATCAAATGGGCACAGTAAAGATTTTAATTATATTCAATATTTAGGAAAATATTGATAACGAATGCTAGCAAGCCTACATCTATAATTGTTTCAGTGCCAGAGAAAATCATTTCAAAAAAACTACCAGCTTCTCCAAAATAAATACACTTTTTTTTATTTATTATTTTTTTCAATTTTAGCTTCTATTTTGTTACTTCCTCAGTTTTTCATCTTTATTGTAATTTTTTTTTTCTGAGTAAATATCCAAAAAGGATACGATTATGCAATAAAGATTATTATTATTACATGTATATATATACCCTACACGAAAAATACGGTAAGTAAAAACACAAAAAAACAAAAGTAGCATGGATCAAAGTAAAAACCCAGACATTAATGCCTTTCCCATTTATATAATTTAATCAGAGATTTGTTTACGATTTAGATTATTAGAACTCGGATCAAACGCGATAAACCAGCAGCATATACGCGAATACATAAATATTTGCATATCAGATGTCAAAGGTTTCATAGGTACAATACCTGATATACTTGTGACAGAAATCATGTGTGCGCGAGTGTGATTATAATAGTCTTTATTGCCCCTCCCCTCTTGAAATAAATTTTGTAGAAGTATTAATTTTCACTGGTATTTAAAGTAGTTAATTTTTTCAATGAAACAATGAGTTTTTGTGTGATTTAATTTAGCGGATTCAACCATCAAAATAGCGACATTCAAAACTCAACGAATAGTTAATGCATTTAGAGTAGGTATCAGTAGTACAGGGGGGGGGTGTTTATTTAGAATCGCGTATTACCTAATACAACTGTAAGCATACACTGGGAAAATGATGCATGCCGCTGGTACCTCAGTCTAGAGGCACATCGTCCAAAATTTCCCACCAGAATGTTTTTTATGGCACATAGAAAAAAAGCAAAAATCTATACATAATCAAATTACTAGAGGTTTAAACCTCGTTTATTACGTTGCTTTTACAAAAGCAATTTGTGCTAATTGAGAAAAATAACAAGACATAGCATCCATAGCAAAATTGTTACAATACTAACAAATCAAAGAAAGCTTAGAAAGAACTCCCATGTGCTGAGAGTATTGGAGACACATTAAATATAATTCGAAATTACTTAGCTGAAAACTAATTATGCAAATCAGAAAATTAATATGACCAGATTTGAGTGTAAAACTAATGAGGTCTGCGCAATGTAACAGAAAATCTATGTCTCCAAGTTTAATTGAAATGTGATTAGAACCAAAAAATTATGAATTATTATGCTTATTAGGGAATTAATATGAACAGATTTTTACCCCAAACTAATTAGGTTTGTACATTGTCCTAGAGCATCTTTGTACTAAGTTTCATTGAAATGGAATAATTAGTACCGTGAAAACTCCAAAATTTCGAC